TTATTACAACTACTGAAATTACTCTTTTGCCCTTCCAAACTGACACAGCAATAGGAAGAGAAACCGTGCTGTGTATTACCGTGCATGTGAACAAGTGGCTCCCATTGTGCCACGTAATTGGACAATGGGAAATGTTGTGGATACGTTGATGAACAGTGTTATTGTAAATTTTTATTTTTTTTCTTCTTTTTTTTCTTAGCTGGTCTTGTTTGAAGGACATCACAATTGTTGATATCATAATTTGGTAAAAAATCCGAAGTAATAAACATGTAAACAAAAAACCAAAAACAGCGTGCTTGTTAAACAAATTATTTTTTTGTAATTTTTTTTTTTTGTACACATATCTAACATAAAAAGGGGTAGAAAAGTATAACTAGTTGCTGAAGAAAATTTGCTCAAAATTCACTAACTATGAAAATTACCAATCAAAACAAATATATTGCATTATTTTTGTGTTATGTATTTTTTCAAAAATTTTCGACACAGATTTTTGTTTGTAAAAGGTGCATCTAAAAAAAAAATATTGCTTACAATTACAAAATTATTGGACATACTTCCTTCATGTATTTTATATGTTAATGATTGGACAGACTTCCTTTAAAAGTAAAATTTGTTCTAAATCTATTTTACGAAAGACATCAAAATATTAAAACCAAACGTGTTTACAAATGTATGATAATATAAATCTGAATCTTAGTTACACATATTACAAATTTAACCAACATTATTGTTTAAAATATTCGCCTCTACCAATGCATTTGCCGTTCGAGTTGGTACGTAATGTTCGCTCTTATAGCAGCCATTGCGGGGTCGGAGTCCCCTTCTCCATCACATCGGCAACCCGTGTGTATTCGCCATGGTCGGGCATTTCTGGGGCCACGTAATCGTCATTGTCAGGGATAGCCAGCGTGACCTCATCAATTTCACTGTGTCGGCGTATGAAGTTATGTAACGCCATCGACACACATATAAAAGTCACTTGATTAGAAAAACTCAACTTCTACATATTCCGCAATGCCCCCCACCTCGACTTCTAGGCACCGAATGTCCGCTCGATACAACTACGCAATGACGAATGAGCCTTGTTGAACAGTTCAAATTCATTCTGTGGTGTTCGATTTCAATAGGCATTTTGGTGATACTTATACCCCTTGTACGGGGCTAGGTACCCTGTCTTGTTGCTATAGCGGCTATCCACCAAATAGTATTTTCTTGCAAGGAACACATAAATTTTTTCACTTTGCATTGTTTGGTAACTAGTTCGTTTTCAGTTTCCAGCTTATATTTACAAAATTCAAAATAACTGCCCAAAAAACTTGGTTCCAAAATGTTTTTTTGATTTATAAATGGTTGTCATCTACAATAATTTGAGGAAAAAACGTATTGTCAAAAAATGAGTTTACGTTGTTTTTAAACTGAAATTTAAAAATTTCACTACCAAATTTTGTTTTTTCAAGTAATTTTTTGTTTCAAATAATTTTTCTTGCAAGTAATTTTTTTTCAATTAATTTTGATTTTCAGATAATGATTTTGCAATTAATTTTTTTTTAAATAATTTTTCTTTCCATTTAGTTTTTTTTTTCAAATAAATAATTTTTCTATTCTTTTGTTACTTAATTATTTTGTTTTTCAATTTCGTTTTCATTTACATTTTTTGTCAATAAATTTTCTTCTGAAATACTTGTCTTTTCAATTACATTTCTGTTTTCAATAAATTGTTTATAGTTTTAATATTTTTTTTCGAAATAAATTTTTTTCCAATTAATTTTTTTTCTCAATTAATTTTGTTTAGTTAAATTTTTTTTTTTCAATGATACTATGTATGATCCCGTTATCATGTTGACATATTCGCTGTTGGTACTTGCAATATGATGATGATGAAATTTTGACAGAAATATGTTCTGTATATGCAAGCAAAATATGTGGCCATTAGTGAAGCCAATTATTTGAGGAAAGAAATTACATTGCACTTTCATCACTACACTCAACACATTTTTTAGCAGCAGCACTAGCAACAGTTACGAATGTTGTTATTATTAGTTATGAAATGTTATTCATTGTATGGGATACTATACATGCATACAGTGTACAGTTGATAAAAAAAAATGAAATCATAAGATGATATGTTAATAACATTGTTTATTTCCTTATTTTTATGAATGACTATTCCATTACTTTCCAATCAACAACTGGAAAGAGTAATTTTATCAATTTTTGATAGGAGAGCAAGCATGACGTCGTAATTTGTGGGCTACTTTTTTTAAATAGTACAATTTTATTAAATGTTTAATATTTTTTTACCGGGTGCGGGGTGCGGAAAGCGATGTTTAGGCTCGGTTGTGACATAGTGCAATACCCTACTGTCGTGGATGCTCCTGTCCCAATCGGTTGACACAAACGTGAAACACAAATTGAAGTCACATATGACAATTATATTTTGTGTTGGAACGCCTTTCCGGCTATAGTACGAAGTGGTGTACTCTTGCATGACACAAGCCATCACGTGCATGCCGTCTAGTTCACCGATGCAGTTTTACGCAACGCACCATTTTTTCAAAAAGTGTAAATAAAAAAATTAGGGTATAGTTCGGCACTGTATTAAGTAAAATTTTATGGAAAGTGTCACCTTGAATGGCCGGTACCGCCACTGCGATCGTAAATGTGGATGACCCCCTTGTTGTACTTGCTCGGGCGTAAAACTCCTACTATGAACCGATGTGAACGGTATCATAGCTTGCATAACCTCATGGAAATTGTGTGACAATGTCTCCTTTGAGTGTTGGAACCGTTCTTGCAAATTTTTCCAAAACATTTCCTGCAACGCACAAATGAAAATGGCTACCTTCTCTTCCAATAGAATGTCATGCTCCTGCTGAGGCAGTGTCAACCCAAAACTATGAAGAGCATCGCATAACAACAAGAAGACTCGTTTGGACATACTGACAGCATCTTCAAACCGGCTATGGTGGCCGTGAAACAACTCATACATCCATAAACGTCCCGAAAGTATTGATGTATTTTAAGGGACTTTGTGATAATGGTTGTAGTAATATCTAGCCGCACTATTCCACGCCTCTATCAAGTTGTGATCAGTTTCGACCACCATTTCCTTGGCAATTTGATCAATAGCTTCCTGGGATGTACAACTTTGCACGATATGACTAGGACCAGTGTCGTCTGCCATTTGTAAAAAATGGAATGGTCAAAAAAAGCAAAAATTGAAGGCAATACCTTATTTTCCCAAACAAAATGGAAACCGCGTCTGATCAGCAATACGAAACTGGCATGAAAAATAGAACGATGGCCGCTAGGAGTTTGACTTACAAGAATTTTCCACAATTTGAATGTAAATAGTAAAAATGTAAGCACACACCTTCAGCAAATATGGAGGAAATTAAAAGAGTTGAAGGCAGAGGGAGGGAGAGAGAGAACCACACTGTGAACAAATAAGAATATAAACAAATGAAAAGGGAAAGAAGAGATGGGACAAGGAGTTGGGGGTACATTTTCTTCCATGTGCGTAGTGCACTTTCTTGTAAGAGATGGGACAAGGAGGAGGGGGCTACGTGTATGATTCCCTTTTTTTTGTTCACCCAAAATAATTATTTGTGTTCAGAAAATTCTATGTGTGTGGGTGATTTTCCGACCACACTGCCCGCTTAGTAACCAGCTGGAGAGCACTGGCAGAATAGATGGCACCTGACTGACCTGCAACAGAAATATAAGCATCCCGCGGTGGTTTCGACCACCCGGGGGCACTCCGACGATCAAGTCAGTATATCTCTCAAAGATAAATCAAGTACTAAACTCACAAGCTTGAGTATCAAAAAGCATACCTTAGACCCATGGGGGTGCCTCTCTTTTATAGCCAATACAATCCTAGTCCCAATAGGAGCCTGGCCCTAATGGACTTAGGATTACTGCTAATCTGGAACTCCCAGTGGGATCAGGATAAACTCTCTAAGAGTCTTATCTTTACCCAAACTGAAGTCTTCTCTCAATCTAGGACTCTTGTCCTTATCCAAGTTGAGTTCCCTCTTCATTCTAGGACTCTTGCCCCTTATCCGCTTATCTCGGATTCCGATATCTTCGGAGGAAACCTCGGCCTAGCCGAGATGACCTCGGCACAACGACCAAGACACGTGGCACGTCGGCGGACACGTCGGCGTCACCTTGCCACGTGTTGGTACTCAGAAAATATATCCCCACACTATGTTCACTAAAAAAAATAGACAGCTTGTTTTGTTATAATTTTTTAAAAACAGTGTACAGAAACTTCTGTTTTGTTGTATTGCATAATTTTTGTGTTCTCTACCTTTTGTTCATATGTTATAGTCAACTTTTAAAATTGGTAGCCACACCTAACATAAATTTACAAAAACAATAACACAGTTTCACGATAAAAAATCCGAAAACAAATGCACACGAATTGAGAACAAAATTAGTCTTACAAAAAATAAATAAAAAAATAAACCAAATGATTGCCGAAAAACTTTTTGGGTAAAAAAATAATTTGTAAACAAATTATTGTTAAAAAAATTTGTTTTCCAAAAACAATTTTCAAAAAATTATTTTCGAAGAAATCAATTTAGAAACAATGTAAACTCATTTTCTCTGAGTATACGTTTTCGCTTCAAATTTATGAACCGAGACAACCTTTTATACACGGAGAAAACTATATAAAAAAAATTCACTAACAGTTTTTAAAATTCTTGTACATATCAAATTTTAAAGTTTTGTTAACAGTTTTAAAATTCTTGTACATAAAATTCTTGTACTATAAACAAAGTTTTATTACCAATTTTAAAATTCACCACAAACAAAAACCACAAAAATACACTCCTACTACCCAGCTTTCAAACAAATCTTGTCCAGAAGCAACTCAAGTGGCCATAATGTAATACAACATTCTGGCCAGATTCCCATAATACAAAGTGGCCAGATTCCAATAATGCAAGTTAGACAATTCGCTGCTGCAAGCATGTAATACAACATCCACATCAACACACAAAGCAACCGATTCATAATAAGGAAAAAACTCATGCACAGGTTAACAGTTTTTAGGAAGGAAAAAAAAAAGCCACACTGTCACAGTTTGTTGGAAAGGGAAAAAAAAATTACAACAAACAAGTTGGCAAGTAGCAACATGATGGAAATGCAGGACAGTTTGTTTCATGAAACATGAACCCAATGCAGTCACTGAAGTCGTCAGAACCAGCCACTCATACCGGAGCTGTGCGGTGCCGCTGATGGGTGACCCATACTTTGGGACTTCTTCATTCACAGCCAACTAATGACCGCTGCGTCCGTCAGAATCTGCAACAATATAGCTTCATTTGCGGGGTTGTCCATTAGTGTCAAACCAAAAACAATTAGTGGGTCTTGCGGATCCAACCCTTCCAGGGAGTACAACCTTGCCATACACTTGCCAACGAGTTCCTGCGTCGAATCTCCGTATTCATGATGCACGCGGACTTGTCGTTGTTGTAATTTAACTAAAGACGCAAGGTTGTCCATACTACTCGCCAACAGCAAAGCTCTCTCACTCTGCCCTTTCTTTTGCTGTGGGTGTGTTGTGCGACTAAATTTGCGTTTGCTCCCGCCACTCGTAGGTGTGTCATCAGCGTGAATTGCCGACAACGCAACGTGTACGGTGACCGGTGTGTCATCCTCTTGCGCAGAAGTGTGGTGGACAGTGTGTTCACTCTGCGTGGCAGGCTAGAAAGGGGGCAAACCGCTGCTGTCCTCGCAATCTTCTTCATCCATCGGCAAAGGACCGTCCCTGGTTGCGATAGGTTCGAACGTTGCACCTAGTATCCATGCAAATTTTCCGTAGCGCCTTCGTACACCCTTCGCATGAGGTCCATGTGCTTCAACAGTTTCGTTTTGATCTTATTGCATTCTTGTCAATCTGATAAAAACCCAAAAAATAGCATAGGATTAGATTCCAATGGTTGCAAAATCTATACCATAGGATTTGAAATGAGTATTAGTGTATTTCATTATTACAATTGTATTGGAGGAACATGATAATGTAATTGTGTGCTTCTACCTAACTTCGAAACTGACTTAAATTTCAAAAATGAACGATATACAACTCAACTTCATGTGGTGGCTATCACTTGTGAGTTTATCACTCATCCCTTTCATATCGTCTAAAAATGACCGTAATTGTGTGAAAAAAACATGAACAACTTCACATGAAACGGATCTCACTGAGAATAGAGTTTGAAGTTCCAATCTTGTGTTAGTTTCACACCTCAGAATAGAATGTTCAAAATTGTACAAGAATTACAGTATGGAATGTTTTCCCAAGTATTTGCCTGGATAAAAATGGGAAAAGGGAAATGCTCAGATACTTTGATGTGCCTAATTATTTCACCTTTACTGGCAACTCCCCACATAGTTTACATGATTCAACAAGCCACAAAATTGCAACATGGAGCATTCTATTTAAAAGAGTATTTGTGTAATTCTTGGTCTTTACGAGTCACTGAAAACAACCTATTGAAATTGAATGAGCCACTCTAGTGTGTGGAATTTTACAAAGAAATCCATCACAGTGAATAAACACTCAAAATTTGACAGTTAATGCTGATGAATATTTACAATAACACTGTTTGAAGAAAACTTTGTGTAAAGCTAGATCCACCACTTGCGACAATTTCCACATCTTGAAATGACTACATTCACAAGTCACAACAACCATAGAAGTTTGCATTTGAGTAGCATAAAATCAAGAATACAAGTCTTTTCAATTTCAACAATGAGATCATAAACTTGACCTAAATGAACATCAAGAAAAGAGCAATTACCTACCCAAAAAAAGAAGAAAGCAGTTCCCATAAATCAGCATAACAAGCCTCACTTCACTTATGCAACATACAAATAGGGCTTTCTTGCTTGGGCAGACTATAGCATAGGATTGGATTATTAATCTATGGGACTTAAATCTCTGAAAACAGCTAACAGCAAAATCTATGGGACTAAAATGAAAACAACGAAAACAGCAAACACCAAATTGGCAAGTCTATTTTTGTGACCAATGCAAAAAGTAAGATGGACAATGTAGTGTGTCTATGGTAAACAAATGCACATAAAAAATAAAAAAAAAAACCCTCTCCTACTCCATGATTGTATTTTGGTTAAAAGGGCAAAACCAACATATATAAATATTAAACACGACACAACCAGAGAATACAGTAGAAGAACCAAAAGGCATAAATAGGAAGGAGGGGCAAATCAGCTTTAAATCATCTCCATAAAATAAACAATAAGGGTAAGATATAACCAAAAGAACAGTGAAATAATGTAAGGGTCTTGGTAAGCTTCTTAACGTGTGACAGAGGGTAGGAAAAGAAAGAAATGACAATTTTGTTTTAATTCTTGAAAGACAAAATTATAATAACAAAGCAACTTGAAGTAAAAAATAGGTGTGTAATCATACACTACTAGTACATGCCCATTCACATTCACAACCATAAAAACACGCAGACAGATGTACTAGAGAGAGAGATTTTTTGAATCAAGTAGCTCGGCCAACTTACCAACGTTGATAATATAATAAAGCTGTTTGGAGTCGAAAATAGGTCCCAAGTTAACCAAATAAGTACATGCCCACTCACACCCACAACAATGCAATTTGGAGTACAAAATGGAAGTCTAATAGAAGTACTTGCCCACACAAACTCACAAAACACTTAAAAAAAATTCACAAAACAGTCAGACATTGAGAGAGGAGACAGAGAGACGGCGAGCCAAGTTGGCAAGTATAACAAAGCAAGTTGGGGTTATAAATAGGTGTCTAACATTAGTCATACAACAATAGTACATGGCCACTGAAACTCATAAAGCTCCCCCCCCCAAAAAAATGATATTTGCAATATATCTTACATGAATTTGTTTCTCCAACCAAGTGACACCGCATTTCATTGAATATAATGAGTGATAAGGCTTTTATCATTTTTGCTGAAATAAAAATATTAATCAATAATTAAATAAAATAATGCTTGTAATATATGCATGAGTATCACGTTGGACGTAAGTAAAAAAATATGGAATTGTTACCTTTTCATAATGTGCCCACCAATCGTCGGATGCTTGTATCAAACCAGTCGCTTCATTGTAACTTATGCCGGTTGGCCCATGCCTGATGTCCATCAGGCGTGACCACAACTGCCAATCCCTTTTTAGCAACGCGTACTTGTTTTGCAGTTGCTTGACGTCATGGACCTTATTTGTAAGCTCCTGGAAGGCCTTGCAGACAGCTCTATATCCGTGCATTGTCATTGCGTGGAAGCTGCCCTTGAAACCAGAGTCCAACTCTTTGATAACAAGTTGTAAGAAAATCCGCACCGTGTCGGAGTCCCAAGCTGCTTTGTGCAAGTTTGCGGACTGCGGCTGCGTTTGTTTACTACCGCGCTTAAGCAAATTTTTGGAAGGCGTCGACTGCGGTTGGGACTGCTCCATTTGGCTAGTACAATGCAACAATAATTGTGATATACGTGGAAAAGCAAGTATTTCACAAACGTAAAATGAGCATTCATAACATGGCAACATAATGGACAAGAATATAACAAATAACATAAAATAGCATATTGCTGTCACGTCCCAAGCTCCGTGACAACGCCGCACACTCATTTAAGTGAGCATGCAAGGCTAAGAGAAAAAAACCACCTCATAACTAATTCCTTGATGTTACTAAAATGACCCATATAAATTAATTTAATTACTACTTTAACCAAAAATAATTCTACACATAAAATTTTGGATTTTACAGCTTAACCATTTGAAATACGCATTGGATATATTGTACAAAAACGACAAACAAATATGCAGGTGGGTAGTACATACAACCTAACAACCGAAGCACGTCAACTACGCAAGAACAACATTACAACAACAACAGACAAGACGAACATCACAATTTGCAGGAAACGCAAAGCGTGCTGCAGGTTGAGGATGTCAGCCTTCAACTGGATGACCATGTCCAACACTGAGTTGTGAGTGTCACGTACGAATGCTTGGCCATGGTCGTCACACCAGCCAATCCAAGAACGACATGGCTGAATAGACACATGCACTAGTGTAGTTCGAAAACATGTAAATGCACAATTGCTGAATACTTACCAATGCACAATTTACACAAAATCAAGTTATTGGGTTGTGTTTTGCAAAACAAAAAAAAAAAAGCTCGTCATGGGTCCAACCTTTTTTATCTTTTCTAATTGATTCTTTTGAATATATCCAATCTACTTATCCGTTTCTCGTACCTGTTTCCTTGTAATTCCAAAGTAAGCTCTACCTAACAAAACGGTTTTTGTTTCTATTACCAATAACATTTCTTCTAATCTTATTAACAACTTCATTTGTGTGTGTGTTTGTGAATAGGCATCTACATCTTCTGTGTATGATGCAATGAATGCAGCCATGGGAGTCATGCACAGTATAGAAGCAAATGGCCACACAATTCCTCCCTCAGGTCCAATCTTTTTATTAATTGTCAATGCAAAATTACAATTTATAATTTTAATTATTAAGTCAAATAATCAGCCTAAACAAAATACGTATTGCCTGATTTGGTTACACATATTCAAGCACTAACCAATATGCCAAAATTGGAAAATACCCTCCCATGTCTGACCCCAAACCAGTATACTGATTTTCCAAATAAGGCATTTTTTTTTGTTCAGTGAAGGACATCAAAATTAAACTGAGCTACACATGTCAACAACAGAACGAAAATAGGTTATGGTCCATGTTTCAGTATGCTGGTACTGTACATCTCAACCCCGTACAGTTCATACAGGGTTGAGAAAAGATGTTACCTTGTAGTTTGGGGGATACGAGCTGGATTGGTGTAGATCTGGTCAGTGGTGGTGCAGATCTGGGCGACGAATGGTCCTTTCCGTCGGTTACTGTTGTCACACGATCGCGTCGAGGTATGACTTTGCCACAGCTGTGGCGGTGCTGCAAGGTGAAGGGTGTGACAGATCTCCAGCAATCGGCGGTGTGAGGGTGACGGACTGGACTTCTTTCTCCGACTGAGGGACTGTCTTGCTTGTTCAAAGACGAATGCAGGTTGGAGAAGGAAAGGGGAACTTTTGGGTGAGAGCGTATATTGTGATATATCCGTCTCAAAGGAAGCAATAAAAAGCAAGGGCAGAAATGTATTTTTACCCTCTGCAGATTCAGACAATTTTTTGCCGCCCAATGCATGGAGGTAGGGTAACTTTTTGACTTTTTATCTTTTTTTATAGATGTCAAACCAGCCCTTAGTCTTAGGCATGGGCCAGGTTGTGCTATGTTGGGCTGGGATTGTTTTGTGCATATGCTTGAGATTGGGCTTGGATCGAGTTGTGTCCCAACACTTGTATTCGTTTTGTAACCTATATGTTTGGATTATTCAAACAACATTATGTATATATTTATTTTTATATATAATGGTTTTCAACCTTTATAATTCTAATCCTAATAGTTAGAGTTGATGGCCTTCGTTAATGTCATTTGTTGGCCCTCATGACAATAGCCTTTATAGCTAGGTTCTCCCCAAAAAGTATAAAAGGGGCCTTTCCCCTCCAATATGAGTTCAGAGATGATTTTTGTATGTGGTTTTTTGAGAGATAGAAAATGGAGAGAATTTTTTGTGATGGCAAATAGACAAAATGTTAACACCAAAAATATATTGTTTTGCTAGCCTTTTCTTTGGGTTTGTTAGTGAGAGAGTACTGTTGTTATTACGTTCGCCGAAACTACACAGAAGGTGTTCCTGCAGTTAGGGCTGTTCACGGGCCGGGTCGGGTCCATTTCCCTATCAATCCGTCAACCGACCCGACCATGACGGGTTAAAGATATAATCAACCGCTTCCGACCGATGTGCTGTTCAAAATCGACCATGACATTTGGTTTGGCGGTCGGTCTCAGTCGAGTTGCATGGGTCACCGAAAATCATAAACACAAAAAATAGCAAAAGAGAAAAGGGTTTCAATGTCAATTGGAGAAGAAGATAAACGCATAATGCTAAAAAATAAAGGAGGTATTAGGGAATGATTCCCGAGGAAGAAAGAAATGACAAAACAACAAAGGGAATAAGAAATTAAGACTCACCAAGAATCAACGAGTGTTCGTCTATTTTGCTAAGTGCTTTCGAGTGTTCATGGCCACTGTTCAACATTAATTTACTAGGAATAGCCCAGTTTAGGGTTTGGTTGTTCTTCATCAAGTCACAGTCACAAATAGGTTCTGGAAATCAGTACAACGGAAGTAGATGAAGGATTTTAGGGGTAGAGGGAGAGAAGGAGTGCGAGAAAATGCTGAAGAGGTGTGAGGAAGATACAGAAAAAGAGGGAGAGCAGAACAGGTGTGACAGACAGAGGAGAGAAGAGGGATAGAGAGAGAGAGGGGATGAATACGTGTAAGTGTGAGAGAGAGAGTTGAAGAGGCGCGTGAGGAAGGAAGATAAATAAATAAATAAATAAAAAGAGAGAGAGAGAGTCACAGCAGAACACGTGAAGGAAAGAGATACAAAGAGAGAGAGAGAAGGGGAAGAGAAAAAGACATAAATGTCAGGCACAACTTCTAATCATATCACTTGTACCCTACTCACTAGACTAGTCTATCAAAATCAAGTGCTAAAAGTTATTATCACTTGGTCAGGTTATATTGTTTAGAGATAAATGACAATATGAAAAGCCAATAGCACACGTACACAAGTAAAATTATATAATATAATAACTATCGGTCGGATAGGTCTTTTTGATTACCACGTGTATGAAACCGTGGTCCGTCCGAAAAAATTGATTTTTTCACTAAAAACACCCACCACCAACCGTTGTTTATAGAGAAACCGTCCATGGGTTGATTTTTCAGTTCGGATAGGTCGGTTTCGTCGGATGCTTCTGATTTTTGTGCAGCCTTACCTACAGTAGCTGGTTCAACTGTAGCATTACCGGTGAGATGACAAATCTGTTTTAAGAAAATTGTGTTTAGATAGAAGACTCGATTTGCATCCCTTACTTTTGTTGTGTTTTTCGTTTCAAGATTTAATTTATTTCTTATATGTTAATTGTTAGTCGTCCATGATACTAATCTGTTCTACCTGTTTGTTTAGTTTGAAATTCTTCCATCATGTATTTTGTCCATGTTGTTGTAGCTTATATTAATTATGTATTCCACTCTTTAATAAATAAAAATAAAAATAAAAACTAGTTTGTTTCATCATTTCTATTTTATTTTATTTTATTTATTTTGAGTAGCCACTCATCCCTTTCCTTCTCCAACCCACAACCAGAGTCACCCATCCCCTTTCCCCACTTCCCGAAACATTGTTACCCTTTCCCTTCTCAATCCACCACCGTCTTCTCCACGACCTCACAACCGCCTTATCTCCCTCCATCTTCACTTAACTACCGCACCCTGGTTTCCACCAGTTCTCCTTTCTTTTCCTAACCCCGCAGCCACAACCACAGCTACAGCTACCCATTTTTCCTCTTCTCCAAGCAACGCAAAGCCCCTTCGTTTTGCCCATCCACCACTGGCTCTACCCATAGCCATTGCCTCTCCCACCATCCTCAACAAATAGCAGGTGAACAAAAAAGTAAAAAATACACAATTGCAAAATCGAAAACCACACAAATCCAATAAAATAGATGAGAGAGTGAGAGTAAAGCGAGGGAGAGAAAATGAAGCAGAAATCACAGGTAGTAATGGTCGCAGGACAACGAATCGAAGAATGGCGATGGGAACGAATCAGAAGCAGTGGACGTCAATGGGGACAAGTAGATTTCTTCTTGGAGTCAAAATTGGAGGATTGGGAAAGGGAAATCAAAGGAAGGGAGTGATGGGAAAGGCAAGGGAAGAGGGCAGTGTGACGGTTGAATGGAGGAAGATAGTGGTGGTTTGGGAGAGAAAAGGGTGTAGGGGTTTTGATACCATGTGCTCAGGTGCATGGTAGGCTGAGGATGAGTAGTTCTAATTAAATGAATGATTGATAAATGGTGGTGTGATTAATTTGAAATATATAATTAATATTAATTTAAAAAGCGAATCTTAGAGTGCCTTCTGTACAAGAAAATTTTTCTTTTTACCCAAGTTAACCGAGATTGACGGAGAGTCTAAATTGAAACCAATTTGGAAGTTCAAGGTTCAAGTTGAAAAAATTAAAAATTCAGAGTTAAATTTGTTATAAAAGTCATACTCTAAATTTTTTTTTTTGTAATTTCCTCATAAATAAATAAATAGGCACATTAGAATTACGTATCCCATTTGCTTAATTCATCAATTGGGATACGTAAAAAGGTTTAAAATTGAGCATGTGATGAGTTCCATCAATCAATCAGTTGCAGCAAAAATGGTATATTTGAAATCACATACATGACAAATTTAATGCTCCGTCTAGTTTTTCTAGAAATATTACATTCTTTGTTCAAGACAACAGTGCTTCATGTAATTTGTTGTTTTCTTTTTCTGAATGTAAACATGACATGTAAAAACTGTTTTTGATTTTAATTAATCACATTATTTTCCCGTAAACTCGACAATGGATATTTGACAACCTTTGCTTTTCAATTAAAAAAAAAGAAAATGTCTCGTAACTTAAATTTTGTGGCTCAAAAGTGGCTCAAATGGCCAAAACGACGTCGTTTTGACCATTTTTATGTTGTTCTGTACTCAAAACGACGTCGTTTTGGCCATTTGAGCCACTTTTGAGCCACAAAATTTGAGTTACGTAGCATTATCGTTAAAAAAAAAGGCAATCAATGTACAAGCAATCACGAGGACATAAGACGTGAATTGTAAAGGCGCCAAGGTTTTCCACATAATTTACACGAATTCCACAGAATCTATTTATTCATACTCACATATACATGTGAATGTAAGGCATCATATAGGCTTCCTTTGGGAAGCCATGGTTTGAGTTTTTTTTTACTATTTTAGTCACAAAAAACAAAATAGGCTATTTTAGCCATAACAAACAAAACATCACATCCAACCCATAATCATTACATTCTTCTCTTACAAAAAAACTCAAAAAAGTCAAAAAGTCAAAAAGCCCTTCCCAAACCAAGCTTTTAAGCCCAGACTAAAATAACCAAAAAAATCAAAAAGCCAAAAAGCCAACCCACTTTTCAAACGGAGGCATAGTAAACATCAGTCGAATGTTCTAATATTAGATGCAATAGAAATAAAATATCGATCTCAATAATTTTTTAATGTTTCTTAAATTTTTTTCCTCACCCTATCATTTTCAAAATATATGTATGTATCATCCAGTTTATCAGCTTCAATTGCAGCTGTTGAACATGTGGGTCATTTGATTCAAGTCATCTCATCAGGTTAACATCAGGGTCAGGGTCATGTTTGAAAACTGTGCAAGTTATGAATTGCAGTAATGGCTTTCAAGTTTCAACAATCATATATCAAATAGAAAGGATCATAAAGACAAAACGCCCAAAACCATCTATACTATGCCTCCGTTTGGGAAGTGGGTTAGTTTTTTTGACTTTTTGACTTTTTTAGCTATTTTAACTTAGGGCTAGTTTGGCATGTACTAAATAAGTCAAAAAGTCAAAAAGTCACTATCTTATTTAAGTCACATCATCTTATTTAAATCACATCACCTCTCTAACACATCACATCAAACCCAACCCAAACCTAACCCAAACCCACCAATAAGTCAAAAAGTGCACTTTTTTAGGACATCCCAAACCAACCCTTAGGGTTAAAAAGTCTGGTTTGGGAAAGGCTTTTTGGTTTTTTTGGCTTTTTAGCTTTTTGGTGAGGTGTCATCTTGTTAAATGACGAAATTGCCCTTTTCCATTTTTTTTTATTTTTTTATTTGGGTTTGTATTTGGCATATTTTTGGTTTTTTTTTTTTTTTTTTTTTTACAATTTTGGCTTTTTGTTGGGAAATTTGTAGATTTCTTCTTGGAGTCAAAATTGGAGGATTGGGAAAGGGAAATCAAAGGAAGGGAGTGATGGGAAAGGCAAGGGAAGAGGGCAGTGTGACGGTTGAATGGAGGAAGATAGTGGTGGTTTGGGAGAGAAAAGGGTGTAGGGGTTTTGATACCATGTGCTCAGGTGCATGGTAGGCTGAGGATGAGTAGTTCTAATTAAATGAATGATTGATAAATGGTGGTGTGATTAATTTGAAATATATAATTAATATTAATTTAAAAAGCGAATCTTAGAGTGCCTTCTGTACAAGAAAATTTTTCTTTTTACCCAAGTTAACCGAGATT